AACAAGATATCTCACAATCTAACAAGGCATCTCACTAGTTAAAAAGGCATCTCACAACCTAAAATGTTATATTCACCAATTTCGTGGTCCGCTTGACCAATTAAATCATTACAATTAATTAAGGTTTTTAGTTGAGATGAAAAAAAAAATGGCAAAAAGGAGGGAAAACTCATAAGGTGGGTTGAGATAGGAAGTTGATGTCCGAGTGGATCGAGGTCACGATAGCTCAGGTGGTAGAGCTGCGGCGTATCTAGCCGAAGGTCGTGGGTTCGAATCCCGCTCGTGCCATTAATTATTTTTCATCTCAACTAAAAACCTTAATTAATTCTAAAATGTTATGTCACTAGTTAACAGGGTATTTACCTACCGAACTAGAAATATCACTAGTCAAGAAGAAATCTCAAAATTTAACAAGAAATCTTACAATTTGGCAAGAAATCGCACAAGATAACAAAATATCTCACAAACTAACGAAACATCACACTAGTCAAGAAGAAATCTTACCATTTCTTTGCCGGAAATCCCACAATCTAACAAGAAATCTCACTAGTTAAAAAGGCATCTCACAACCTAAAATGTTATCTCACTAGTTAACAGGGTATTTCCCTACAGAACTAGAAATATCACTAATCAAGAAGAAATCTCAAAATTTAACAAGAAATCTTACAACTCGGCAAGAAATCTCACAAGATAACAAAACATCTCACAAACTAACGAAACATCACACTTGTCAAGAAGAAATCTTACCATTTCTTTGCCAGAAATCCCACAATCTAACAAGGCATCTCACAACCTAAAATGTTATGTCACTAGTTAACAGGGTATTTCCCTACCGAATTAGAAATATCAGTAGTCAAGAATAAATCTCAAAATTTAACAAGAAATCTCACAAGATAACAAAACATCTCACAAACTAATGAGACATCACACTAGTCAAGAAGAAATCTTACCATTTCTTTACAAGAAATCTCACAAAATAACAAGATATCTCACAATCTAACAAGGCATCTCACAACCTAAAAAATTATTACTTTACAATTAATTAAGGTTTTTAGTTGAGATGAAAAAAGTTCAAGCGGACCACGAAATTAGTGAATCTAAAAAACTATCTCACTAGTTAACAGGGCATTTCACGAGCGAACTAGACATATCACTAGTCAAGAAGAAATCTCAAAATTTAACAAGAAATCTTACAATTTGGCAAGAAATCTCACAAAATAACAAAACATCTCACAAACTAACGAAACATCACACTAGTCAAGAAGAAATCTTACCATTTCTTTGCCAGAAATCCCATTATATAACAAGATATCTCACTACCTAACACAGCATCTCGTCAGTAAACAAGGCATCTCATTAGTTAACAAGACATCTCACAACCTAAAAAGTAATCTCACTAGTTTGCAAAACATCTTGCTAGTTAACAGAACCTCTGACAACTGAACTATTTATCACTAATCAATAAGAAATGTCACCATTTGACAAGAAAACTATCAATTTATCTCTCTTATTAACAAAACATCTGACTAGTTGACAGGACATCTCATAAACGAACTAGACATGTTACTAGTCAATGAGAAATCTCACAATTTATCAAGACATCTATCATTTCAATTTAACAAGAAATTCCGAACTTTATCTCACATCTCAACAATAAATCCAAAATTGTTGACAATAAATCTAATAAGTCAACAATAAATCTTACAACATAGCAACAAATATAACAAGTAAACTCTGAATTTCACAATTTAACAGGAATCTCGCAATTTATCAAGAAAACTCACAATTCGACAAGAAATTTCGGAATTTAACAAATGTCAAGTAGATAAGACATCTCATAATTTAAGAAGAAATCTCTCGACCTATCATGAACACTAGCGAACAAGAAATCTCCCAGCTTACCTAGACATCTCAATAGTAAAAAAGAAATCTCACAAGTTAACAAGACGTCTTATTAGTTAACAAAAATCTTAAATATAAAAAAACTGACACAAATAAACCAGATATTTCCCATTTAACAATAAATCTTACAATCTATGAACTAGGAATTTACAAGAAATTTTACAACGACAAGAACTGTCATGTATAATTAAATCATTAATCTGTCTCCGATCATCTAATTCAGTGCATTCTCGTTCGTTTGGCCAGACGCATGCCGGCATTTCGCCAACTTAAGCAGTCGATCAGGGTTATAAGCAGGTTGGTGAGCAAATCACCTCACTAATTAATGCAATTTTTACTGTCTCGATTTGCAAACATGCGGGAAAATTGCCTTATCGCTTTAATCTGCTTATATCTCTTACAGCGGGTGTTTTATATCGTGTCCATTTATTAATAAATTTATTCATTAAAATCAGCAAACTTAAGATGGCGAAATACTTACAAGTTCATCATCTAGCAGACCACGAATGAATTTCAGAATTTTTTTTAAGTCGATCCGTTTCGATTTAATTCTTGATATTTGGCAAAAATGAACGTGAAGTACCTTCACATGCTTGAACGTCTGTTAACACGCAAAAGTTATCGGTCTTCGCTCACCGCCAGGTGTTTACGAAGTAACGTTAATAGCATCCGTGCTGCAAGTTTTGACAAACAACTAAGTATAGTGGAAAACTGATCGATCATTAAACCATTTTATATTGATGTATTTATTCTGTCTGAAGGTTGCGGGCGACAAAACCTTGGAGAATGTAGAAATCTTAGATCGAAACAGCAGGAAATAAAATAGTAATTGACAATTCAAGACGTCAAATAGAATTCAACGGATGTCCCCTTGGTTGGACGTGTTGCGCTTCTTTATTAACCGATAAATTCGTTATACAACGCGGAACTAAATTGTTTTATTATGCTTTAATTGTCCTTCTGTAGAGAACGTATATTGATAGATAACGTGTAATTAATTTACAATCCTTCACGTGGCAGAAAAAATTTCATCCCTAAAATTATTGAAAATTTATAAGAAAACGACTTTATATATTTTTAACTTCCATTTTTGTTAAAATATTTATTAGTATTAGTACATTTTGTAATTCTTTGGATTTTATCATACATATTTACAACACACTAAGTCTTGAGGTTAGTTAGTAACCATTGTTGTTCTCCCAACTACAAATAAGAGCTAAGTCCTTGGTGAGGAGGTCCCGGGGCCATCTCAATTTTAGTTGTCTGATGGGATTACAGGGATGGATTATGTTAAACATGGGTTGGGCTGAGTGAAGAGTTTATGATAGAACTTAAAAAATTTGGTGGAGATTAATTTATTTACATAGGGGTATTTTGAGGTCGTTGAGGAAGGTGGTATTGGAGACAAAGTTGATTGACTATGATTCTGACGACTTTGGATTGGAAAGTCTGAATTTGTTAGATATTGGTAGGTTTCCAGTATGGTGTGGATAACAAACAAATTCAATGTTACTGCCAAGCTTTCACCATATTTTAAGGCCATCATCAGGGCAAAAAATCTTAAAAGTGTCTACAAATTAACATAATTAAGTTTTTAATAGATGATTTTGAATTCCTTTGAAGTCTGATTCAGTCCCAATATTGCCAAGATTATAATGCTATTCAACAGTTTAGCTCGTGTTCCAAGTGGAGTTTTACAAATCAGTTTTAGTAGTGTTTGTAGAGGTATCAATTTGTTTTTTTGTCCGCATGATAGATCTGCATCCAAGTAGCCGTATAGTAATCCAAAGCAAATGTTCAGTTCCTGTCTTTTGTTTGAATGTGTAGGTCGGAAAATAAATGTAACATTGGTACATTTGCTTTTGTTCATTTTTTCTCCAGGGTTTGTTTGTTCCATTCGACTTTTTGTTGGACATTTCCTGGAACTCCTCCACGGCAGCTGCAAGATCAGAATCAGAGGAAAGCACGGCTGTGTTGCCTGCAAAGTATGCAAGGAGAGGGGTTGGTATGTCTGGGGTGATACAGGAGGTATCCATCCTCATACCTGAGGAGGTACAGGATTGGTCTAAGTACACTGCTGACTGCTTTGTGGTAAACCTGTTCCCACAGGGCTGAGGATAGTAGTCGGAGTAGTCTGACCCTTGGCACAAAGCATTAAGAATAAGGTGTTTGGAAGGACGCGCTTTTGTTTATATACGAAACCCTCATGGCACACAGACGTCATCTTCTAGGAAGGCCCCCCCATAAAATATTCTTTATGCTCAAAGGATGTGGATATTTGGTCTACAATGTGAAGCACCTGCTAGGTTGTGGTCTGTTGAGAGCAAAAAAACCAAGTTGGTAGATGGGAGAAGGTTGAAAGACTTAAGTTTAGGAATTAATCATTTTGCATATATCAATATTTTTTCCAACAATTTATGATTTAGTATAATATTCTAAAGTACCTTCTTCAACTAGTTAAAAATTTTCTTCTTTTAATAGTTCTATTCTAAATATTTAAAAAAAAATTATGCAATAATTAATTTTTTCTAATTTCCAATTCATACACTTTTTGACTTTTTAATGTCTCTCTTTTTTTTTTAAAGATAAATCATTATGTCTGTATGTTTGCATTATAGCATTATGCTATAACTTGACCTACCCACTATAAAAATATAAATAAAAGTTTGTTTTTCTTTATTTCTTATCATGGAATATCAAAGCTGTGTTGAAACTATTTTTTATTTACTTATAAATTTTATCGATCTACTTAGAGATCGAGTAACTGCATAATATATACATATATATAATTATTGACCTTTACAAATGTAAGTTTTAGTTCAAAGCTGCATAAATAGGAAATTATAACTGTGTGAATGTACTTGTATGTTGGAAGTGATGGTGTGCACATTTTTTTCTCATTAATATTTTTTATTCTACCAGTGTCTGAGCTCTTTTAGATAACATAAATAACCATTTTATACCATTAGTGAGAGAAAAATTTAAATAATTTATTCAATACAAAATTCTATGAATTTCTCTTGTCTTAAAAGTTTAATAATAATATTTTCTTTTCCTTCACGCTTGTTGTTATAATTTTTTGTATTATTTTGTTACAGAAAGTAATGGTGGAAGTTTTCTATGAGTCTCTATGCCCTGACAGCAAAACATTTGTGACTGAACAGTTAGCTCCAACGTGGAAAAATACTGAACTCCAGAGTTATCTCAACGTCAGTTTGGTACCATATGGAAAATCAAAAGTTGGTTAATTTTTTTACACTATTCTAATTTCCTTGATTAAAGATATGTTAATTTAAATTAAATCCTTATTTTAATTTAGACTTCTGGAGTCTCACCGAATTTTACTTTCGAGTGCCACCACGGAGCCGGTGAATGTCTCGGAAACAAATACCATGCCTGTGCTATTAAAAAAGTAGGCGATCTTACAAAAGTTGTACCCTATGTTAGTTGTTTCATGTTAAACTCTCCCAGTGGCACAACCAATTTCACAGAGGTCAACAAAAAAGTATGTAACTCAACTTTCTGTATAACACCTTTTTGTATAATATTTTATTTATTACTTTTTTTTTTAATAGTGTGGTAAAGAAGCAGGTCTGACAGATGAAGTTGTTAATACCCTTGAGCAGTGCAGTAATTCTACTGATGGATCAATGTTCTTAGAGGAATTTGGAAATATGACAATGAAGTTTGAAAATCCTCTCACATCAGTTCCAACAGTCCGTGTCGATGGAACTGTAAGTATTATACACACTTAAAAAAACATTATTACTTACTTTCCATATATATTACAAAGTACAAGTCACTTTATTGATCAATCACAATTGTTTTGTTAATTTTTTATTGTTAATGAACTCGACCTTTTTCAAGTTTTTCTACCCCTAAAAAAGGAAACTTAAATGACAATTTTTGTCAAGTTGAAATATTTTAGTTTCTTATGTGTTTATCATTTTTCTTGTTAAAACGAGAGGGATAACACATGGCTAATAATATTAAATTTAATTTCAATTAATTAATCTTTGAGGAAGGTATTGGTTGAGTAAAAAAGTCAGTGTCAAGAGCGGGATTCGAACCCACGACCTTCGGCTAAAACGAATAGATTGCGAATTTGAAAAATGGCAAAAAAGGAGGAAAAATTCAAATGGTGGGTTGAGATGGGAAGTTGGTGTGCGAATGGACCAAAGACATGATAGCTCAAGTGGTAGAGCAGTGGCGTATTTAGCCAAAGGTCGTGGGCTCGAATCCCGCTCGTGACACTGACTTTATCTCAATACCTTCCTTAAAGATTAATTAGTTGAAAGAATTTATTTGGTAATCAGACCACGAAACCTAATGGATTAAATTTAATTTTTATGCAAAAATGGTTGAGAAGTAAAATTAGTGTCATTTTCTTCTCAGCTGTCTATGCATAAAAATTTAAAATAATAATTAGAAATAAACAGATAACTAATAAAATAATTATACACAAGAATGTTGTCGATCAAAAAAATTTGTCAAAATTGTATGCTTCTCGTCAACTGAACCTTATTTTAGTTTTTTCTTAATTTTCAGAAAATCACTGAGTTGAACAATCTCAAGGGCAAGGTGTGTGAAAAACTCGCCAAGCAAAATCTGGCGACATGTACATCGAAGAGCGATGCACCAGTGCATTCGGCAATGTCTGCAATCATTTTAGTCTTCGCTGTAGTTTTGACAAGACTGTAAAGTAAGCGCGTGTTACATCGCTTCCATTGGAAAAATTTTAAAAATATCAATTAAAAAAAAAAAATTGTATTGTTTAGGAGGATAACCAAATCTTATAAATGTAATGAATTTACTGTAAAAACAAATCATTGTTTCCCGTACGTTTTCATTCAGAACATAAATTATTGTTTTTATTCATGAAAAAAATGTTGTGTTAAAAAAAGGTGATATTCTGAGTACTTAAATGTTTCATTCCATTTTTAATTATATTTAATGTGTAATAAATGATAGCCACGAAATTAAACAAATAATAATGTAGTGTTATAATTGTTTCCATTTATAAATTACCTTTTTAAATTATTTTTGTTTTCAGCATTTCAGTGTTCATATCAGTTCAAAGTTTAAAATAAAAAACGTATTGCCTAATTAAAAATATTATTTAAAATAGTATAGTTTTATATACAGGTAAAACTAAATAAATTTAATTTAATGGACTTTTCAATGAAAAAGATTAGATATCTTTTGGTTAAAATGCTATCAAATATTAAAAATTCTATTCTAAGCTGAAGAACATTTACAAACAAGCCAGCCACTGAAAATGGCAAAATTATAAAATTAATAAGTAATAGCAATCAGACTATAAAGTGATGATGTCACTTTGTTACTTTTGAGCCCTATATTTCAATATTTATAAATTGGTTAGGCTGTAGAAAAACAGCTAGATATTTCTGTGATTGAAGAGCAAGAAAAATATCTGCATATTTTCAGTATTTTAATCTAATGATTGTTTGAAATAATATATTTATTATGATGGGGTCAGATGTAGAATGGTGTTTGTCGAGAGATACCATGAACTGGAGTGTCTCGGCAAAAAAATACTTGTCATCTGGACCCTGATCGATAGATCTGGAAGATAAGAAAAAGGCAGGTGAGACAGCTAAGGCTGGGACGTCCCAACCAAAGGACTTAACCACCCAGTCTTCTGATGTTAAAAATGCATTAAAAAACATGATTAAAAAAAGTAGCAGTGTCAGTGAGTCAGGTGGCAGAAAATTTCTCACATATCAGATACGCTGTCAATAGGTAGCCCTCGGAGAATCTAACTCATAGACGAAGGGTCCATGCAAGGTTGACACAGACACTTACTTTTTGGCTAAAACCTGCTCAAGTCCATAATGTAGAGAAAGGTTGCTTGATGAGTAGCAAGTATTATAATATCACTGAGTAATATGTTAGTGGATGTCTCTTGTTCTGATTCTTAAAGGAAACAGGGTTGTTTTATTGTATGTAGTACTAGTATTTTTGTGTCCCTTAGTGTGTGATGAGGGTGAATATATTCATTAGTAGTGTATTAGTACCCCCGTCAACCTTCAATTAGGTTAGTTATGTAATATGTGTGTGGAGGATGATGGAGGAGTACTAAGCTAACCCAAGTTTGTCTTCAAAACCCGGGAGAATGATATGTAAATTAGAAAGAGTACTTAAAAGTGAGTGAGAGTTGGGGGGGGGTGAAATGACCTAGCTATTGATTGCCCCTAGAGCCTAACCTCAGTGGCTGGATGGATAAGACTGATTTCTAACCCTGGATTAATAATTAACAAAATAATTGGAAATAACAATGGTTGCATGTATAAGCAAATGGATCAACCATTACCATTTTTTAAGATAGTTTTTTATATACTTAGCTGCAGCACGGCTTGAAATCATTTGCAATAAAATGAATGGAGAAGGTATAACAACTAGACTACAAAAATAAATTTGAAATCATGAATGCTGGTAAAGTAACTCAGTTTTTCTTTCTAACAGCCTGATTGTTTTTTGGTAATTGTACAGAAGTTTGATCACTAATTATGTTAATGATTATTAATCAGTTTTAATAATATTTATTCTAGAATTAAAATATGCATAGGAACACAAAATATTTCTAGATATAATGCAAGATAAAAATCCTTTTCCTTGATAACCCACAATCTGGAATTATTTTAACTTAAGGATTACTATTTTGTTTATATTTATTTATTATCTCATACATTTTATGACCAGTAGTCCCTCCTGATGAACCATGTCAATATGTTTACGTGATAAAAAATTACGTGGTTAATGATAATTTTACAGTATAAAGTTACAAAGCTTTCGACTCTATTTGGCCTAGTTAAGGGAACTATAACAACATAACAAAATGCATGTATAATCATATTTTTACACAACTTTACCTAATTACATGATGTAGAGATAATATTAACATTTATCTAACCCAAAGCCATAAATAAGAATTATGATGCAATTATTTCTGTTTAAAAGCTGAAGAGAGATATGCTTATAATTTTTAATTAACACTTGTTATAATTAGATCAATCATAGTTACATTGATATTTGACCTTCAATACAATAAATTAAATTTGAATTTCAAAAATTGAAATTGAGGTAAGCTCTTCGTTTATAAATCGAGTTCAAGTAAATCGTAAAATAAAATTTTAATCTTAAATTATTTATACAAAAATGAAGAAAAGTTAATATCTCTATATCCCTTAAGTAGTTAAAATGTGTGTAAAAACATGGGTTTATATGTAGCTAAATTAATTCGATATAGATGTGAAACAATGACATATTAAGTTAGATGAAAAATAAAGATTTTTATTATTCCTAATATTAATATTTCTAATTCTTATTATGGTTTTTTTTTTTTTTTTTGCTTGCTATACTCCAAGTACATTTTTTATTTTTTTAAGTTTTCAAATAAATATTTATTTTATATTCACTAATTTCGTGGCCCGTTTGACCAATTAATACATTCCAATTAATTAAGGTTTTTCATCTCAACTAAAAACCTTAATTAATTGTAATTTATTTTATAATTATTTCTCAAGGATTATTGTTTTAAATTTAAATTTAATTAGATAAATAAACAAAGATTTTTATTCTTGCTAAATATTAATACTTGTAAATTTTATTATGGCTTATTTTTTGTCTACAATACTCCAAGAATTTTTTTTTATACAACCAGCAGATTGGATTATTGGCAACTGCTTTGGATTAATAATATGATATTAATCAATTGAGAGATCTCTTAACCATATTCTTTTCAGTTGCTTAGATGGTAATTGCGGGGAATGGAGTAATCGTATTTGTGTTAGTGTGATCTTGTAATTTATTATGAAAACATCTGTTGCATCTTTTGATGGATGAAAATTACATTCCATAAAAAAATAATTAATGTGTCAGCTATGGGAGTTTTATTCGCCATATTGTACAAAGGGCTTGAGTCGTATGGAAGAATTGAGTTAGTATGTTGAAAAAAGGATGGATAAGTACATTAATTTGGGCTAGAAAATGTTGGAGTCCAGGTAGCATTCAAATTTATGTTGTGCTGTAGGTAGCTTCCTCTGTAGTTCTTGTATAAGATTTCACCTATGTTGTAGGGGGAAGGGTTTCGTTCTTCTTAAAAGGGAGTGATGGAAAATTGTCTTCCAGTTGGGTTCGTTTCGGTGTTGTACTTGTATTCTTTCTTGTTGTCCTCATTCTGTGTTTTAAATTTTTCCTTAAATAACTGACTGATACTATTGTTTTTATTCTTTTATTTTTTGTTTTGCAGAAGTGGCAAACTGTTTTAAAAACTCTTACATTATTTTTTTTTTTAAATTAATAATAACCATTACTTAACATCTTTCTCTTTGTTGAATGCATAAATAAAACTTTTTTTAAAAAATAATATCAGTGTAGAAAGTTTTTTGGTGTGTGTTTAATATTGAAATAGTAGTTTTTCCTGGAATCAGGGACATTGTATCATCCGTGGTTATGAGGTAGTGGACCGATTGGGTAAAGAAGCAACAAAGCAATATCGCAATATCAAGCTGCTGAAGAAAGACACAAAATGCCTATTCACCAAACAGTTGATCCAAGAATGGAGCACGGAACTGTGGGTTTGCTAGATAAATCCATATTCTTAGAAATAGGATCAAAACCATGGTTTTCCGGAATTAATTGCACAAAAGAATATTTTGCTTCGATATCCCTGATTTGCTCAAACCGCTGCATTTGCTGTGCATACCTGCATAATATTAGCCGTAGAGCTACTCCAAACTGAAAGACATGCGATGAACCAGAAAAGCATATAATTTTAACGAAGAAAACGAACCGGCAAGACAGAAATTTTTAAATGATCTGCGTATACTAAGAATTGTTGAGTGAACGTTTTGCTGGGAAAGCTCGCTTTCAACTGGACATGTGGCCCTGCATAAGTTGATATATGCATTTTTGCAAAAATGTGATAGACTTTAGTGTCGTATGTGTGGGTTATGGTAATTATTTACTTATGTATAAAAATATTTATTTCATTGTTCTGGGTTCCTTGTTTTAATTAATTTATCATGTGATGTGTGCTTATGTATTTATTATATAATGTGTATTATATATAACATTTATTAAAAAATTGAGTGAAGATTGTCACTCGGCCACTTCTCCTACAAGAGACTCAAATGACCAATTCAACATGTATGAACACATTTACATAATATATTATTTGTATATAATTGTAAATATCAGTTATATAGTTGTATGTATTTGTATATAGTTGTCAATATCAAATAAATGTAATTTAAAAAATATTTACATTTTATTAAATTTATTAAATGTATATAAAATTTATAAATATAAAAAGTTAATGATCATAGCATGAATGACTGAGCATGAAAAACTCATTACTTTTCTGTGTATTTATTTTTATTCTTTTTATGTTCTACAATTAATGCATACCCAGAATTTTAGGTTTAATTTTCAATTTCCAGTATGTGTGACAATTTACGATCTTCGATGTCAGGAAGAATTAATTCCATGCTGTATATATTTTTATAAATATTTTTCATGATGTGCACAAAATTGTAAAATAAAGTATTTCTATCTGTATAATGTGTATATGAGTGTACTATTCCTGTATGTTTTAAGCAAAGCAATATAATAATTAATATAATATAATTTGTTTTTTTACAAGGTGGCTTGTTTTAACTTTACAAAGTGTTACATTTATTATTATGATTTTGTTAGGAGTGTGATGATATATATTTTTTGTTATTCCTTCCTGTTTGTTTGTCTTTTATAGCTTAAAAAAATACTGTAAATGCATTTTCAAATGGTGAATTGTTAATGAGTGGATTGTGCACTTTGATATTTGTTCAAGTGTGTTTTGTGTTAATCATTAATGTTTCCTTGTGATGAATGAGAGGGAAAATAAATCCAGCAGGGATTTTTTGAAAGTTTGAATTCTTCCTGGCCAGGTCTGAAATTGTTTTTACTTTGAAGCCCCCTGGTGTTTTATTGTGCAGCATCTGTGCAAGCGTCTGAGATTCTTTTGTCGAGGATTGAGGAGGGGCGAACGTGCTGGCTGCCAGGTTTGACCTCGGTCCTCGACGGACGGCCCGGTGCCGGCTCCCATGCCCCAAGCGCAAGTGGAGGGGCTCACAGCTTACCAGTCACCACTCGGTAGTTCTTCCAGGTCGGTCGTGCTCTGAACGGCTTCATCACCTCTCATCCGTATTTGACGTTTACCCAAGTTCGTGTTATATGTGAAAGTCATGTAACCTTTCGTGGAAAAAGATCAAAATGCTATTTGACTGTTCCACAATTTGTGTCACAGCTCGTGTCCATTGTTGACTCGTCATTTTTATCCGTTGAGTGAAGAAAGGTGATTGTCGTCCGTGATCGCCGTGCTCCGAGGGAGAGCCGTAAACCATAAAAATGGATTACCTGTTTTTATGTAAGTTCTTTTGTTTTATTTTGTTCCTTTTAAACGATCTGTACGTCATTTGGTGCGGCGTTTTAAACATGTAGACCTATGCACTTCATTCACACCTGTTGCGTCAGCTCAAGCGTTACGGTAAAGCTTTGTATCATATTTTACCGCAGCGTCTCAAGATATTTGTTTATTACAGGTAGAGACTGAAATAAAAATTTCTAAAAAAATATGAATTCTACAATACTTAATATTAATTAATGAATGAAAATTTCCAATCAACCTGAATAATTGCTTGTCATTCAGATTGGATTTTTTTTTTGGTACCATTTCTGATCTACAAACGGAATAATATAAGAAATGGATCGTTCATGTAAATTGTTGTATAAACCAATATGGAAATGGATGGGACTGCCTCTAAGGTAAATTATTTACAAGGAAATATTTCACCGATTAGGAGAAAAAAGTATATATATTTGAAAGAAAATTATTGTAAATGTGTGTACTGTAAAGAAATAATGAACTGCGACTGGTGAATGATAATTGTATAACAAATAGTACGTTCATTTGTGTATATTGTTTTATAAACCATTATAAACAATATAGAAAATGGATGGAACCACCTCAAAGGTGATTTGTAAGAGATATTTCACTGATTAGAAGAAAAAAGTATATATATTGGAAGAAAATTATTGTAAATGTGTTTTCTGTCAGAAATAATGTACTGCGATTGGTGAATGATCATTGTATAACAAATAGATCATCCATTCGTGTATATTGTTTTATAAACCATTATGAACAATATAGAAAATTGATGGGACCACCTCTAAAGTGAAAATTATTTATAAGTATATGTTTCACCGATTAGGAGAAAAAAGTATATATATTTGAAAGAAAATTATTGTAAATGTGTTTTCTGTCAGAAATAATGAACTGCGATTGGTGAATGATCATTGTATAACAAATAGATCGTCCATTTGCGTATATTGTTTTATAAACCAATATAAACAATATAGAAAATGGATGGGACCACCTCTAAGGTGAAAATGATTTATAAGGAGATATTTCACCGATTAGGAGAAAAAGTATATATATTTGAAAGAAAATTATTGTAAATGTGTGTTCTGTCAGAAATAATGAACTGCGATTGGTGAATGATCATTGTATAACAAATAGATCGTTCATTTGTGTATATTGTTTTATAAACAATATAGAAAATGGATGGGATCACTTCTAAGGTGATTTATAAGAGATATTTCACTGATTATGAGAAAAAGTATATATATTGGAAGAAAATTATTGTAAATGTGTGTTCTGTCAGAAATAATGAACTGCGATTGGTGAATGATCATTGTATAACAAATAGATCGTCCATTTGTGTATATTGTTTTATAAACCAATATAAACAATATAGAAAATGGATGTGACCACCTCTAAGGTTAAAATGATTTATAAGGAGATATTTCACCGATTAGGAGAAAAAGTATATATATTTGAAAGAAAATTATTGTAAATGTGTTTTCTGTCAGAAATAATGAACTGTGACTGGTGAATCTTTATATAAGAAATGGATCGTCTCTATATCGAATTGTATAAGCCATTTTAAACAGTATACAATAATGATTGACTGAGTAGTATTAAAAAAATGGATATGCCACCTGTATTGTTAAAATTATTAAAAATAAAATGTACGAATTTAAACCATGAATCAGTGTACAGATGTGAGAAATGGATCGTCCTATGTGATGAAAACGTGTCTCTAGTAAATACAAAGGTATTAAAAACGGATATTCTATGTGAATTATGGATCCGACCAACAGTATATTACATGGATAAGACTTGGTCATATTAATTTGTAAACTATTTTGGTTTAAATAATTATACGGTGGTTTGGTATGAGAAGTGGATCATAGGCACCGATGGAGAACATGTGACAAGTTTTGGACAATAGGGTTCCTTTGAAAATGATTTTTTTTTTAATACAAAAATCGTCTGTATTACAAATGGATGGTCATCTTGTGAACCATTTTTAAGGTTAGTTTCCAATTAAATGATAAATTATTTAGTACTAAACAATAGGAAATGGATGGGTCACCCCATATTATAAATGGAGTCAGAGTCATTGTGGAAAATAGATTCTTTACGGTGGAAAATGTGTATAAAGATCGAATTTTATGAGAAACATTGATATGCTTATTTTCGTAGGGAGAATTTGAACGTGAGTCTGTAAATTATTTCTTGGAAATATAGTGTCCACCTAAATATTTAATCTGTCTAATAAGCTAAGAAATGGGTATCCACTTCTATATTTACTTGTAAATGAATTTTTTAAACTTCAAATTGTAAGCTATACACTAAGATCCTTTTCTGAGTAAATAAATAATGAATAGTGTAATATTATGACTATGAAAAAATGTCCATGAATGTGGAATTTTTTAAGTTGAGTTTTTTATTTTCTGAGAAAAAAATTGTATAGTGTGGTGGAATGTTAACCACTAAAGGAAAGTATTATAAAGTATTATCCAAAATAACGATTGAATATAGATAGGAAAATAGATTGTCCATTTCGATGATCACATACTCGTCTGTTCGGGGGTGGTTTGAGTAGTAAAGGTAAAGGCAGTACTATAGGTTGGTAGGTAGGTAAATAAAATTAGGCAATAAACAGCCTATTGTTCAAAAGAGAAACTAAACGTCGCAATTAATGTAAATCGACTCATCTGACAAAATTAAAGGCGCGTTCATTTCGTGCCACTTTTCTTTAAATGGATGAAGCAGTTCTCACGATTGTTCTGTATGCTCTTTTTTTAAAAGTATAACAATGTCCTACATTTAAGACGATAAAATAAAATTTTTCGAAAGTCAACAAGTAAACTTTCACTTCAATATTAGCAATCTTAATGGCCTAAATTTTTAGTTTTATTTCTATACATAAATTAACGAGCAGGGAGGGAAAGATATCCTTGTTGTAAACCCCTATGTTTTGTATAAACTCAACAATGCGTGCAATATTATGACGCCGTATTTAATCTGAATAAGTGAAAGTTGTACAAAGGCGAATAGATAATATCTGAGCTGGTTTTGCTAATTTTTGACTTTTACTATCGAATTAATTGTTGCGGCACTACTGACTTACTCCACTAAGTATGGCATTGGGCAGAGGAATTTTTTTAAAATAATAATAATATTTATATGCTTCCTGTACATAAATTATACACTTTAAAAATTGTTCTTAACGCTATAAAATCCCGGGCAAAACACTAACACTACAGCCAAGTACTGCACCCGGAGAAGCCAGCCAAAGTTGGCACTTTTTTATCTGGTACAAGCGAGAAGGTCTCGGTCTAAATATATCCCTAAGTATTTTACAAGTGTACATGGCGGTTTATTGTTGAAACGTATAGACATGGCCAAGGCTATTTGTTTAGCGTGAACGTAATTTGGGTGCATTTGTTCTTTGTTCAGTTTCATCTTCCACGTTTTGCACCAATCTTCAGTGAGCTCAAGATGTTCTTGGATATCGGACGTGGCTTGGATGGTATTGTTGTTAGGAGATAACATTGCAATATCGTCCGGGTAGGTTGTAAAAATGGTGTTGGAATGTATAGGCAGTATAAATGATATATAGGATAGAACCAAGAACGTTCCCTTGCGGGACTCCAGACTAGTTCTTCGGTCTGGCTTCCTAAACTCGTTGCCGTATCTCACTCTGAGGCAGCGGTTGGTTAGGCAAGATTTTAGGATTTGTTAATGAGTGGGTAGGCGCTGGTTTGGTTTGAAGAAAACTTCCATGTGCCAGGCCCTGTCAATGAGAAAAAAAAGAGACAACAATTGGTTGATGAGTAATAACAGCTATTTCCGTTTTTTTTATTCTTAAAAAGTTACTCATAGCATATCATTAACTGTTTAGATATATCTAAAAAAAAGCATATAGCGCATATATAATCCTGTAATTATTCTATTCTCTATTCTACGATAGTCACCTTGGCCGTATATTCTTCTGGAAAATTCAAAATTTAGTCATTTTTGATTATTTCAGCATTTAATTTCAGTTTGGCGCTAGTTTTCCGGCCGAATGTTATGTAATTTGATTATAGTTTTCTTCCGAAAATAGCGATAATCGCTACGAAATTTGATATATATGGTACTTATTTTCGTGTCAGGACTTTTTATTTATAAAGAAAAGTGATACGATTAAAATAGGGAATAAATAAGACGTCGATCAACCCAGCAAACAGCGATAACATACGGACCAAAGATCCTTAAAAACTCTCCTTGTTTGATTTATAATAATAATAATAATCTTTATTCACGGCTTTGGCCATTTTACATCACATACAAATACATAACATGCAATACATCGTTTATCTTGGAGCAACACTCAAAGCGGATGTAATTTTATTTTTAAAGTTTTGTAATTTATTACATAATAGATCAACCTCTACTGAATTCATGAGCCTACATGCTCTGATAATAGGTGCTGAGAATAGATATTATTACAGAAAGGGATAGAAAATAGATTTTTATGTCTAGTTAATTTCAAAGGAACATTGAATAAACTCGTTGCAGAAGCTCAGGGCTTTCTATAATAAAATTTAACCATTTATATAAAAGTATAACATCATAAATATCTCTTCTTATTTTAAGGGTAGTAATTTCCACCACAGATCTTATTTCATCATAATTTATATAGCCTAAGTTTAAGTGCAATTTATAGGCTAAGAATCTTAAAAACCTATTTTGAACTTATTCAAGTTTATTGGCGTATTTGAGATAACCAAAGACAGTGAGACCAAACTGGAGAGTTGAACTCATTTCTCAGTATAATAATTGTTCAAAACCTTTTATCGGCTAATGTTGAAAAACTATCATCACAAACAAAATTGAAATCAGTCATAAAATTAAAATTTCTAAGCTTGCCAGTATAAATAGTTTTAACTATTGATATTTTCGCAAAGAAAGAAAAAAACTACTAGCAGCTGGTGTTTTATGTAAATGTGTCTTACAAAAGATGTTTGTTATGA